AAAAAAAAAAAAAAAATCCTCCCCTGCAGTAAGCTATATACTGGCTTCCATACGTAGGACATGTAATTAAGATGAGGTAAATAATACGGATATTCTATACATGGCCTTGAGAAGCTTGGTACCTGTACCAGGAGCTTGGGAATACCTCCTGGTTGTATAATATTCATGGTCTGTTTCTTGAGCTCCAAGGACTGCGAGATTATGCCAACTGCGATGCTTTTGAGCGTACTCCTCCTTGTGCATTACCATCGGCACTTTTGTGGAGGAGACGCTGGACAATTTTCTTATGGCCATACAGTGAGGTTCGCTGCAACGCTGTTTCGCATCCTGTGTCTCGGAGCAGAACGTCTGCGTTTCTTCTCAGAAGAGTCCGAACAACCTTCTCGTGCCCCTTTGATGACGCCAAGTGGAGCGCTGTGGCATGGCCTTGGCCTTGTGCATCGATGTTAGCGCCATAGTCCAGCAGAAGCTCGACAATGCTTCCATGGCCCTCAGATGATGCCAATATAAGTGCTGCCGCAAATCTTTTGTCTTGTGCATCGACATTGGCATCGTTCTTGAGGAGAAGCTCAACAACCTTGTCATGGCCGTGCAGTGATGCTATCTGAAGGGCAGTAGGGATTCCCCCGCCCTGTGCATTGACATCAGCTCCTTTGCTGATGAGAAGTTGCGCAATTTCCTCATGTCCATTCGCTGATGCTGCTTGGAGCGCTGTCGCGAACCATTCGCTTTGCGCGTTAACATCGGCGTTGTTATCGAGGAGACACTGGACAATAGTCTTATAACCCTTCGTAGATGCCACATGCAAGGCTGTTGTGTACCATACGCAGTGTGCGTTGATATCGGCACCACCTTCAACAAGGAGTTGTACAATCTTTTCATGACCATTTGCTGATGCGGCTTGTAGCGATGTTGGGTGTCCTCCACCTCTAGCATTAAGATCCGCGCCTTTGTGAATGAGATAGTTTACAATTGATTCGTGACCATGCAGGGACGCTAGTTGTAGAGCAGTAGCATATCC